ACCAAGCGAGGAAGTGGACTCCTTACCTGTTAACCTTACCTTGACGTCGCTGCACTACTGGAACCATCGTGCTTGTAACTTACATTAATACCTACCCAGGCAAAACCGCGAGCAAGAAAGATAATTTGGAAAGAAAGAAAGCTAATAAAACATGCGGGAGAAAGTTCACCTTGCCCTACCCATCCCGGCCTACCAAACCTGTGCGAAACCTGGGGTGATGAAGCTCGTAGCTGCAGTCGACTGAAGGATGACGCTGTACCTTGTCCCTACCGAGGAGTTGAGATCGAGACGTGAAGTGCTAGTCGACGAGAACGTGATGTCCAATCGAAAGCCTAGAGGTGACGTGTCGGCAACTCTTACCATCCTGACCTGTAACGCTGTGTTGAATGGTCGAACGTCAAGAGCATAACAAACTCGATCTTACCCTCAGAGCCGAGAAAGGGTGAGGCGAAGAAAGGGGAGGTAACCTTTGACAAACCCTTGCAGAAGATACGTGAGCCATCGAGCGGGCCTAGTATCTGCGGCGCTGGCTTCGGTCGTCGTAGCTGTCGCCTTCGTAGCCGCGCTTCCTCGAGCCGTCGTCTCGGCCTCCACCACCGTACCCACCGTCGCGGTCGCGGTATCGATCTCTGCTGCCGAGCGGTTCGTTGTTAGCGCCGCTGGATCCTCGGTCGTAGCCACCACCACCGCCGCCGCGTCGGTCTTCGTATCGTCCTCCGCCTCCACCGCGGTCGCCTCCGAATCCACCTCCGCCTCCTCGGTCGCCGCCAAAGCCACCGCCTCGTGGACCGCGAGGACCAGCTGGGGCGCCATCAGGAGGTCCGTAGCCGTTGGACTGGTAGCCGATACCTCCGCGACCACCACCAAAGTCACCTCGACCGCGGCCACCGAAACCTCCTCGTCCACCGCCGAAGCCTCCTCGATCACCTCCAAACCCGCCACCAAACCCGCCGCGTCCACCACCTCGTCCGCCGAAACCTCCACCGAAGCCACCGCCGCGGGCTCCGAAGCCACCAGGGCCGGCTGGAGGTCCTCCGAATTGGCTACCTCCTCCGCTTGGTCCGCGAGCAGACGGGCCCTTGGTGTAGCCTCGTCCACCGAGACCGCCACCGAAGCGACGTGGGCGCCATCCAGAGACTGTGCGGCCGCGCTCCACATCTACAAGCACGCGTCGATCCTTGATCTTGATACCATCTGTCTCCTTGTATGCAGCCTTCATGTCCTTTTCGCGCTCGAAGACGATAAAAGCGTAACCGCGCTTTCGCTTCTTGGGTGGCGCGTCGGCGGGTTGGGTGACGTCTTCAACGATCCGAATGCGCTCGATGGGACCGTAGCGGCCGAATTCGCGCTCGAGGTCATCGGAGGTGACGCCATAGGATAGGCGAGAAACGAAGAGCGTCTTGAAGGCGTCGCCCTGGACTTTGGGATCTTCGACGGGTTTGTCTAGATAATGTTAGTGAGTGATGCAAATAACAATTGCGCGAGTGATAGCTTCAGCGCGCGTGGTGATGTCGTACAATCCTTGACCCCTTCCGTAAGCAGATACTCCTGTTTCTCCTTCTTTTCGAGCTTCTTGCGATCGCGCTTCTGCAGCCAGCTGTCGGTAGGCACGTAGCCGTCGTTGTCTTTGTACTCCCTCAGCGCCTCCATGTACTGGCCAATGCCGCCAATCTTGGGCGTGCAGCGCTTCTCAGGCGCGTGGTCGGAAGGCTCGACCCATCGCAGCGGCGGCCGCGGGGCGAACAGGTTCAGCAGCATAGGGGGGAGTAGATGCGTCATGTTGGCGAGTTTGTTTCTGGAATGCGCTCCAGACGGCGATGTGGAATAGTTGGAATATGAGAAGTGGAGGGCGCGACGATGAAGGTCGATGTTTGGGAGTTGGGGCGTTCGAGGAAGCTGCGACGCGGAGTTCGCACTAGCGCAAACCTAGGCTGCGACCACCGCACGTGAGATCCGGGCCCGACTTTGGACTTTGAGATTGGTGAAAGCACCGCCCTCACCACCGCAATTGCCCGCCAACATGCCTGTCTCGGCTATCAAGACGGTCGCAAAGGCTCAGGTATGTTTTCGCAGGTTCATCTGTCCCGACATTTGTCATCCTGGATGCTAATTACGACCGCAGAACGGCGTAGGAGCCTTTGTCCTGCCGTGCAAGTCCATCACCTTCCACTACTGCAACTGGTGGGGGTCGTCTAAAGGCATGAACGCCTTCCTCAAATCCTCTCTCCCCGCCTTCGCCAAGCGCAACCCCCAGATCGAAATCTCCGTCAGCCCGCGGCCACGCCACCACCCCGTAATTATCGCAAACTACATCAACGGCGCACAACGGTCAATATGTGTGAGGAATCTGCAAAATGAGGGTGTAAGGGAGAAGGCGGAGATGTTGAGGAACAGCACAGGAGAGAAGAACAGGAGGCTGGATGGACGACCAGTGAAGAGTCTGAACGAGAGCGTTAGGGGCATCTGGAGTCCGTTCCACGGCAGCAAAGTCAGTCTATGAAGAATGGAAGAGAGATGAAGACGAATACTATACGCACCGATATCCAGCGAGGATCAGGGCAAGGCGTGGTGGCCTATCGGCCAAAGTTCTGCTTCTTTCACACCAATGCGGAAGGACCCGACATTTATCAGGCATGCCCAAAAAGATGGGATGGTACTTACTGGCTGGAAAGGCATAAAAACTGTACAAACCATGTATCAAGAATAAAAGAATCACGAGATTTACAAACCCTATACAGATGATCTTCACGGACGTTCATTTTGCTGAATCTATATAGGTCCTAGCCAAGTCTTCTTTTATCTCATAAGATCATAACCATTAGCTGCCGAAGCACGCTCCAATCAACTATAGACGAGCATCGCTTCGAGGCATTCATGCCTGGTTGGCGTTGATGATGTCAACGAAGGCAGGCTTCAAGCTAGCACCGCCGACAAGGAAACCGTCAATGTCGGCCTGCTTGGCAAGCTCCGCGCAGTTCTTCTCTGAGACACTGCCACCGTACAGGATACGGGTCTTCTCGGCAGCCTCGGCAGAGACCTCCTTCTTGAGCCACTCACGGAGGGCGGCGTGGACTTCTTGTGCTTGCTCGGTGGTTGCGACCTTGCCGGTACCGATGGCCCTGTGATATGTTAGTAATTGAGCATGAAAATTATCTTTATAAGCTTGACGCACCAGATGGGCTCGTAGGCAACGACAATCTTGCTCCAATCCTTGACCTTGTCCGCAACAGCCTTCAGCTGCTTGGTGACAACGTTGACGGTCTCGCCCGCCTCGCGCTGCTCCAGGCTCTCACCGCAGCACAGAATCACACTGAGACCGTTGTCGATGGCAGTCTTTGTCTTGCTGGCGACGAAGTCGTCAGTCTCTTGTAGGATCTGGCGACGCTCAGAGTGACCAAGGATAGCCCAGGTGATGCCGCTGTCCTTGAGTTGTTGAGCCGAGATCTCGCCGGTGAAGGCACCGTTAGGCTTGTCGAAGACGTTTTGCGCCGCGACCTCGATGCCCTTGCGGAGGTGCTCACGTGCGAGGAGGAGGTAGAGCGCTGGTGGCGCGATGACAACCTCTGGTTCTGGAGTCAGTCTTTCGTCCTCTCGATGGTGTGATGGAGCTTTGCGGTTTTCTCGGATCGCTGAAAATGTGGTTCGACGTACCTGTGTTCTGGTCGAGCTGGGCCTTGTTGAGGTTCTCGACGAGCGACTTGATGGTCTGAATGTCGCCATTCCTTTAGACTTGTCAGCTTCTCTTCATCTTCTCCAAGCACTCACAGCTTGTGAAAGTACCCACATCTTGTAGTTGCCGCCGACGAAGAATTGACGAGCCATGTTTGCGGTTTGATCGGTTGTGTTTGCGTGAAAAGGTGTTGTGTTAGGGTATAAGGGTGTGGGATTGTGATTGAGTGTTGTGAATGAGGAAGGCACGGAATGTTGTTGTTGTTGAGCAGGAGCAGCACTTCTTACAGCTTAGTGGGGTGACGCGGGGCTAGTGACGTCTGAGGCCTCTGAGCTGTGCTGTACAGTAACAGCATCCGGCAAAACTCGGGCTTGAGCGAAGCATCGCTGAAAAACAATGGGGACGGTGATCCAATAGGAAATCTCTTCAGCGAATTGGCAAGTGTCGCGACGTTTCATTATACATCCTGTGGAACCCGATGCTAGGCAGCTACGGAAGCCATGCCGTTGCATTGCGGCATTTACACCTGACAATGTATGCTTCAAATCTATATGTGTCGAGAAGAAAAAGACGGGTTACAGTATCCATCACATACTTGGTGTTTCCGACTGGATGAAGCGATGACGAAAGAGTGGGGTCACCCACTTGATCATCCCGCAGCGCTCGTTAGCTTTCAGCCTCACAGCCGGCCGAAATCCTTCACATGCACGGCCTTAACACCGCATTCCACCACACGACCATTGCCGGTACCCTAATGTCATCCGAACCGCAAGACTCTCCGACTGTTCACGGCTTGTCGGTCACACCGCTAACGCAATGCTCTCATTGGCATTCCCCGCTTGACATCATCGCCATCAAGCATTTCTGCTGCCAGAAGTTCTACGCGTGTATCAGTTGCCATGATGCATGTGAGTCTCACAAGTCTGACATTTGGCCTTGCACACAAAGAGATGAGAGCGCAGTGCTTTGCGGGAAGTGCAAGCATGTGCTGACCGTTACCGAATACATGGACAGCGGAAGCAAATGCACACAATGTGGCAGCGCATTCAATCCTGGGTGTAAAAACCACTGGGAATTGTACTTCGAGCTAAACAAGAAGCCGCAATGATAAGCTGGAAGTCTGGTCATGAGCTGCGGATATTCCCAGGCAGCACTCCCAACCGAGCCGTGATAACACCATTGCAGGCTGCGACCTGGATGTCTTCCGGCCGCAGTTACTACATCAACGTGTCTTTGGAACAGTTCTCAGCGTATAATTCCCAGGCTCCCTCATAGTCTTCGAGCGTTCACCTGGACTCCCATTCAAATCCCACACACAGGCGAAACCACAATGGCCTTCGATGAATCTTCAGCTCTGGCCCGGATGTTCATCGTCAAGAATATCAATATCCCGCCCTCTCCCACTATACCGTCAGATCAGGATGCCTCTACCGTACCAACACGACTAAACCTATCCTTCATGGATCTACCACGAGAACTCCGAGATATCGTATACGAGCTCTACCTACCGGATACAGAATCCATATACGACGCAAAGACACACAAGTTTACCATCACCAACAAGGAAGCTGACGACATGTCGCTTGGCTTCACTTGCCATACCATCTTAGAGGAGCTACTTTGTCGCGCATTCGAAGTCAATCTCACTTTCCATGCTGCTTTCGTGCACACGCCACGCGAGAGTGACGACCAATGGGTCGATGACATTGGCCACATCCTACTTTACAAAGAGGATGTCGTCGACAGACTGGCCCGTAGGTTTCTGACGGAGGCCGCGGAAGAAGAGATAGCTGCATGCTATCCCCAGTTTCAGCCCATACTCTCTGCCTGGCGCTCGAACCGCGATGAAACATGGTTCTCCAAAGGTCATGACTGGGGAGAAGCTCCGTCGATCTATCGCGACTTCATCCAGCACACGTTGACTGTGCTGGCAAAGCATCCCGAGTTCGCGAAAGACGACATCGAATGGATGGACATCTTGCGGCTACCATCAGGCGCCCAACTACCAGCTCGCAATCTGTTAGATCTCACCAACCTACAGTCAAGACTTTGGACAATTCCCACCAACACAGACTTCACGCAAACCGCGTCTGTCCCTGGCGTGCCGACTGAAGATACCGCTATTCGCTTGAAGACCGCTCGATATCCGTTCTCAGCTGCAGCCATCGCACTACAGTTCCTTGATTTCCTACCCCAAGGGCTGCGAAAGAAGATCAAACGCCTTCGTCTGATCGAGCAACAAGAATCCATCGCAAATCCTGAGTGCCACATGCGAGGCTTTATACCTTTCTGCATCGACATGCCCAAGCTACGCATCGAACGACGTGTCAGCATCTGGAAAACTGCTTCTGCTTTCCATCACCCATATCCTTGGCGTGATGAGGGACGGGTATACATGCAGCACGGCACACAGAAAGCTAAACGTAATCGGAGGACCTGGCTAGATTATCCTCGTGCCCCTTCGTGGCGAGATTGGTTGCGTCCTGTTGTAAGGCCGGGGGCTCAGTCCTTGACGAGAGCAGTCACACCCTGGATGGTCGAGGCTGACGCCCTGGAATCCCTGGGTATGCCAACCGGCGCATTCACATTGGTATTCGATGGAGACATGGTCGCATTGCCCAGGCATGCGCACAAACTCTACGACAACGTCATACAACGCGATGCCGCGTGGCAAAATGCGATCGACGTGTTGCAAATGCCCAGAGACGACCCCGAAATCACGCAGCTCGAATGGTTCACGAGGCGACGCCGTATTTGTTACTTCTATGAGAAGTTTCCACAAGTGCTCCAACGTATGACCGCTGGAGTAGGCTGCATCAAGTGCAACTTCGACCTCGGAACCGAGCAAGATGATGGATCACTCGCGCGACACTTGATGCACTTTGCTTCTGTGGAGCAGGATTCGCGCTGGCACGAACATCAGTTGAGGCCTCATGATTTGGCGTACGCCATGATGTTCAGGCGCCCTACACCCCGTTTATCATATCGAACTTGGTAGCTTGTAAACTAGACTGAAATGGGTCTCTATTGCTGGTTAGAGAAGTAAAAGAAGCACCACATTGGCAGGTACAGCCCGGACCTGCAGCCTTTTCACCCTCTACCCGACTGGCGCGCCCTGAGATGAGAATACTTGGACCCAACATGATCACACTGTTGGTTACATGTTCGTCGAATTCTTGACATACGTCAGTATACGGGAATGAATGGCTGGACGGAGCGGTGGTTAGAGCGACAGGTTCATTGCTATAAGAGAACGGCCAAAGACATAGGGGATGAGACGGCGCTGATGACTACCTGCCTGGCTTCGAGAGTACATTATTTGATCCTGAATCAATCACGACATTATTCAGACCTCCACAGAATTCATAACATGATTGTGCGCACCAGTGCCCATTTGACCTTGCTTATCACATGTGCGACGACTCTGACAAGAACAATGGAACTCCTCTCCTTCTTGCCACCCCGGGGAAGCACATATGCTTTGGTATAAAGTAGTGATTGTAGGACGTGATCCAGGATAATACGAAATGAGTGATTGTGTGAGCTTGATGATCGGGTCTAGCAGGCGCATGTCTGTCTCACGCGGTTGCCTTAAGTACTCTCTCAACCGCTGTTCTGATATACGAGCGCTCATATCTGTCAACAGCCTATGCATCCGAACCGTCAGAGCGGAGTAGTTCTTGATGGTGGAGAGTTTGAGGCACGGCCGTTCGAAATACCGACTTAGCATTTCGAAGTAGACACACCCTAGCGAGAAGGCTTCATGTTGGTAGCGGTCAAAAGAGAATCCGGTCGATCCAGACGCAGCATATTCGGGCGAAGCATACATGCTAGTGTATGAGTCAGAGGCAGAGGCGGGCCAGCTGGTTTCCAGGGAAGTCCGCACACTTGTGACTCTGAAGTCAGCTAGATATACTTCGCCGTCCTTGTACAGTATATTCGAAGGTTTGATATCTCCATGTGCAATACCTTTTTCGTGAAGGTAGCTTACAGCGTTGGCTATGCACACAAACCACCGGGGCTGCATTGACGGAGGATTACGCCCGCTAACAACGTCCACCAAACTTCTCATGGTGCATTGAGCGACTGGTCGCATCAGGTATCCGAAAATAAGACTGGAGCTCTCTCTCTCTTCGTAGGATGTAAGAATCTCAGCAATGTGTGGATGCTTGATCTGCTTGGGAATCTCAATCTCCACTAGCAGATGGTTCTTCATGGCGTGCCCTGGCGTCGACGAGACCTCATTTATACGGACAACCTTTCTAGCAAATAGTTCTACAGTAGCCCTCAATACTGCTGTGTCTTCTTCAAGAGTGACTGAATCGACTTTACTGTGGATACCCCATCCAAGTGGTTTGTGTGAGCGTAGCAGCGGCCGAGTCCCGGATGCGTATGTCATATGTTTGGTAAACGATACATCCATCCCAGGCCCAAAATACGTTGCGTCCCTCGTTCTCGGGCATGTTTCTACCATGATCAGACGTCTCTCGGGTGACACAGTGAAGTTTGGTGCAGGTATGATAGGCTCTGCGTCGTCTCGCCCCGCTCCGTCGACGATCAAAGTGACCGGAGGTAAATATGGATTTTGGAGAAGATGCTCGACGACTTCTAGCTTCTCGTTGAATGGAGTTGGCATGTTCATTTCCGGGGCTAAAATTTCGGTTATACGATCAAGACCGTGACTTGCATGTTCCTTTGTATCAGTCTTGATGTAGAATACATCACGCAACGCTTCATCTATTTTTCCGATCCGATATGCAAGCTGTGGGGCTCTGGTATAAGTTAGTGGCGTTTTCTACGAGACGGATTCTGGATGCGAAACAAAGAGAGCGACAAAGCACTGACCCGAATCCAACAAGATTGATAGAATCACAGATGAATATTTTGAATCTGTCCTGTAGAGATACTTGAATTGTCATTATGCAAGTGGCGTCGGGCTCAAAATCTGGATTTGGATCATGCAGGGGTAAAGTGGATCTCCTGATGAGCTTCGGCGTGACTGCACAGCCAGGGTAGTCAGTACTTGTCCCGATATACGAAAATAAATTCAGGCTAACTAACTAAGTGCTTTTGCGCAACGCTTAATCTCACCACCAACTTCTGGCCTCTTCAAGTACTCGTCGACGTAGGCAGTTATGTCATTGAACCTTCTCCAATCCACCATGTCGACGGCATCCATTCGGCGTTTAACATCGAACCGGAAGTAGCTGCTGGAGTTGTGTAGAGAATTACCCTCCTCGGAACCTACGAAGTCCTGTGCGACATTATCACAGTTGATGGAGATCTCGGCGCAGGTTTGCGCGATTTGATGCAGTGGAATTTTCGACTCATCGATACCGTGAATGTCCATGACACCAGTACCAATGCTGACGATGCATCCGAAGTCGCGATTTCTATCGATACGTCTGGCCTCCGACATGGCTTCGTAAATGGGGTTGTTGAGTCGTAGTGCACCATCAACCACGGTGATACCGTGGCGTTCGATGTGAAATGGGTCGAAGATCAGTGGTGCAGCGCTGGTCGCACGAGCTGCTTCCCACACCTTCAACTGGTAGTCATCCTGCATGCTATTTGTTGTAGCATAGCTTCGAAACAGCATCTTGCTAGCAGTCGCGTTACGCGTAGCGCACACGAAACTAGGTAATCACACGTTAGCATCCGAGAGTTGCGAGTCAACAGAATGCTATCGTACGTCTTGCAAGCGCTATCTTGAAGCAGCGCTACCTCAGGATCCAGTCTGAGATCCTTCTCGAGAAACTTCTGAAAGATCTTTTCCATCTTCTTGCCATCGAACTGAGCGTTACCAGCTGCGGCTTGACCAAATTTTAACAGCTTGCCAACAACAGAGGGCATCTTGGCGAACCATATAATTGATTTCCTCTCAGGAAATATGTCCTTCGATAGGGCCTTAAAGTGCTTGATAGCGTCATCAATACTCAATCGCAAGCGGCCGAGTAGTATTGCTATAAGACTACATAGAGATTAGCAGTGATATGCTGATATCCTCCGAGTTACTTACCCTCCTGTCGAGGTGCCGCAAATGATATCGAAGTACTCGCAAGGGAGTGGAAGCTTCCCTGGAGGCAAACCTGCTTCGTCCCGGATGGTCCGAAATAGGCGTTCGAGGATTTGGAGTTCGGCGAGACCCTTGATGCCACCGCCATCTGAGTATGTAAGCCAAATGCGACGATGTGTCCATCAGTTCAACTCACCCAGACATAGGATTCTCCACGGTCTTGGTCTGCCGGGCAGTGGCTCTGATCTTGATGCGTACTGAGTTTCGCCGTCACGCCCGGGTACCAAGTCCCACGCATGTACATGCTCACTTTCTCCATCAATCTGTCTCGATGGCCGGTAAGGAACTAATGCCTGTGAGTTACTGGGAGTTTGATCGAAAAGTACTCTCGACTGATTGGCTGAGCTTGACGCGGTCATTCCGTACACGAGTGCGGTATCATCATTGAGCCTCGACATAGCGAGAAAAAAAGGACTGCTCGTATTCAGTGCCAGGAATTACCGGGCAATGCATGGCTTTATGGGCATATTCAGCTCAATAATCAGCTCATGAGCGTGCCAAATTCAAGGTTCAGCTCATGCGCACAAGGCTGATATGTAGCCTTGCCATGATGGCATCTTGCATGGAAGACTTATCGAGGCGTTCGTCGACGAATCGGCTGTGACAGAATACCTATCAGCTGCAAAAATGGCGTTCGTATGTGCCTCTCTATTGGAATGAGGTTGAACTCCGCCCCCGTCTTTCTCACCAGTTTCCGGAAACATCGAAGTATTTTGGCATCACGTCATGCCACCCGTGGAGGACTTCTCCAATCACGTCGTTCCTGTAGTAAGATCCGTATTCTGCTCTATTCCAAGTGTCTGACTGAGATGATCAGTCTGGCAGCCTAGGTTCGTATCAAGTCGGGTCAGCCAATGAGAACCAAGGATGGGGGAACACACAAGAACGACAGCCGACGGCATCACATGCATTGCTGGCAGATGCTCCATATCGCATTCAATCATGATTCGTATCCCCTTATTTACTTATTTTCCCAACGTCAAAAACAGCCTGTCACCAATATCGCCCAGCCCGGGCTTAATCATGCCCTTCTCATCAACCCCCTTATCGCACCCACCAACCCACACCTCAACGCCCTCCTCCCACTCCCCACACGCCTTTTGCAGCCCCTCTTCGGTTGCTAGAATAGCAACAACGATAATCCGCTTCACACCCCAATCCTTCAGCGTGTCAATCGCCGCCTGCGCCGTCGCACCCGTCGCAATGATGGGATCTACAATAATCGCCAGCTCTGGTTGGGGCTTAGTCGAGCCAGCTGTGTGCGGGGTGTGGTAGGGCAAGTTGTTGTAGTATTCTACGGGTTGTAAAGTGGATTTCTCGCGGTAGAGACCGAGGTGGTGGACGGGCACGGGCATGGGGAGCAGGGAGGAGAGCGCGGGGACCATGGAGAGGCCGGAGCGGAGGATGGGGACGAGCGATATGGAGGTCGGTGAGGGGGAGGTGGTGGTTGTGGTGTATTCGTAGCCGAGCGGGGATTTGTCCTAGAGACGGCATGTTAGTAGGTGGTGTAGTATAGTATAGTAGCAATGCTATGGTTGTTGGCTGGGTCATTTGGGGATATGGGAATCCTTCTATGAGTATATGTCGTGGAATACCACCCCACTTTGTGACATGATGTGACCGGGTGAATGTTAATGTGATGCAATGGGTGAACGTACGGTGCCTGCCTCTTGTGCCTTTAAGCCAGCGGCCAGAGCTTCATAGCCGACCATGAGAGCGAGTTCATGCACCAGGGTCTGCGCATCTTTGGACCCTGTGCTCGCGGATCGGAGCTGTGAGAGCTTCGCCTGGAGACATGGGTGTGTTGAGACGTGGGCGTTCTTGGGGAGGTTGATGCCGGACATGTTGGATTCGCAGTGTAATTACGTAGAGAAGATACAGTAGTATTGCAGGTCTTGGTATTCTGGAATATATAGTCGGTGTTCAACTTGACACCTACTGTCCATTCAAGAAGGTGCATGAGACAAGCGCGTGGTCACGCCTAGCTCCCCACATGCCGGCGATAACAGATGCCATGGCGTCGGGCGCCTCCGTGACACGAAACCTTGTCACGCCTCGGCAGGTGCATGCCGCTAGACTGGGGAGCCCCTGCCAATCGGAGAAAAAGGAAGCGCGCGCCATTCGTCCCATTATTTGCATAAGCAAAGGTTACTGAGATTTGACCTTTTCTTATTTGGCGCAGGAGGGAGGAGAGACGCGAAGGAGGGCTGATATACGTGTGCTGTCTTATTCTCGGGCATCGCCACTTTTGTCCCGGCATCATAGAAAGCAGCATGGCGCGTTACTCCAAGTTGCACACGGCGTCTTGAGCTGAAATTATACACTACAAAGTTACGGGTGCCTGCTCATCTTGGGACCCGCACGTCATTGCACATCGAAGCTGCATGCACAAACGGGACCAGGACGGCAGCTATGGCCAACGCTGCACTCGACGACGACGATGTCCCCACCAAGCGCGAGTCGCATTTCAACAACCAGCGCTCTTCGCTGCGTTCTTCCACCCTCTCCGAAGAGTCTGCGCACCGCCCGGAACCGCGATCTCGAACCCGCAGCGACCTGCGCCGCCTGCACGACTTCAACCTCGACCTCGAGAGAGTCCACTCGGAGCACGCGGATAGCGAGCCATTGCCCTCGCCTACCTCGACCGCCTCGCCTGCACCTAATGTGCCGTATACGCGACAGCGAAATCACTCGTACAGCAGCGTGAAGCGGTGGGACAAAAACGCCGGGAAGCACCGCTCGCTCAGCACAGTTTCCTCACGAGCCGGCGAGAGCAAGCACGACGACGACCTACTAGGAGCAGACTCGTGGCTCCATCTCTACAACGACAACGCGCATTCACCCAATCTTCCCACACCATTGCGCACACCTAGAACGCGAGCGCAGAGTAGGGCGTCGCAGAGGGAGAATGCTGGTGGTGGTAGTCCGGCATCTCAAACACATCCACACCGATCGAGAAGACCCTCTTTTCCACTCGGACGAGTAGCGCCCGGTGCTGCTTCAGGGTCTCAACTAGACATCACGGCCCTGCCCAGCATGTCGCCTGTCCAAGAAGACGGCCACGATCACTCCCACCGCTACGATGATCACCACACAGACGCAGAGTACTACTTGCGCTCCAAGCGCACCCCTGGACAACAAAAAGCATCGAGATGTGCCACGGAGCTGTACACCATCTCTTACCTTATCTTCTTTTCCATATGGGGTACCTTAGCTCGTCTGGGTCTACAGGCCCTGACATTTTACCCCGGCGCACCCGTCATTTTCTCTGAACTCTGGGCCAATGTCGCGGGTACATTCATAATGGGCTTCCTATCCGAAGACCGCCGTCTCTTCGCTGCCGAATGGGGGAGTCGCAGTAATAGTAATGATGGCGAAGAGAAACTGCCCGAACCAACCGACTATCCTGCCAACGATATCGAACACTCGCAGCATAAAGTGCGGCATGGGAAGATTAAGAAGACGATACCGATGTATATTGGACTTGCAACAGGGTTTTGCGGCTCTTTCACGAGCTTTTCCAGTTTCATGCGCGACATCTTCCTCGCGCTGTCGAACGATCTGAAGAGTCCCATCAATCATCCCTATCCTGCAGGTACATCCACACCATCTGTGACCACCACAGTCCCGCGAAACGGCGGATACTCCGTCATGGCCATCCTCGCCACTATCATAATAACAATAGCAACATGTTACTGCGCCCTCCACATCGGCGCACATCTCGCTCTCGCTCTCGACCGCATCACACCCAGCCTACCCTTCCGGTTCACCCGCCGGGTCTGCGATCCCATCTTCGTCATCCTGGGCTGGGGCGTATGGTTCGGCGCAATAATCATGGTGTGTCTCCCACCCCACTCATCATGGCGCTCCCAAGCCCTCTTCGCATGCGTCTTCGCCCCCGCAGGCTGTCTCCTCCGCTACTACATCTCCCTCTTCCTCAATCCCATTGCACCTTCCTTCCCGCTCGGCACCTTCACAGTCAATATCTTCGGTACTGCTGTACTGGGTATGGCATACGATCTCCAGCACGTGCCTCTCAGCAGTACAGGGCTGGTCGGAGGTAGTGTGGTGGGCTGTGCGGTTCTGCAAGGCATTCAAGATGGGTTCTGTGGCTGTTTGACGACGGTTAGTACGTGGATTGTGGAGATTGATACGGCGAAGAGGAGGAGGAGTGCGTATGTTTATGCGGGTGCGAGTGTGGTGGCCGGAGTGGGGTTGTTGGTTGTGGTTATGGGGAGTGTGAGGTGGACGGTTGGGTGGGAGGAGATGTTGTGTATGACTTGAGGTGATGATGGTTCGATTTTTGATTCTTTGCATTTATGGTTTTGGACGGTTGCGCATGATATGATGGGTCATGAGACGGTAAATGGGGATCTCACTGGTTATACGATATATGATACGACAACGGGGGACGGCGATCTTTTTGGCATTTACACTTATATACCCATGCAAGATAGAATCAACTTTATTTACATTTCTAGACAGGGCCAGCGGATGATGGTAGGATTGCACGGAGCGCCCAACTTGGTCTAGCTCGTAGTCCTGATCGGTGCCTGCCAGATGTCCCAGCTGGGAAAGAAGTACAGCCTGGCCATGACATCATCTCACCTGCACTGTCCGCCTGGTCAGGCTACACTTGGAAACAACGCTCAGCTGCCTCATCGCGACACAGCTGAGCTCTCTTTCACTTCGCTTCCAACGACTGTTTGACGAGATCATCTTCACACGAGAGCGCCTATCGCGCATGCATCTTCTCTCCATCCTCTGATCACATGCCTGCCTTCTGGTGGAGTCCTGGACGTCCGAACCAATGAGCGATCCACCGAAGATTAGCACTCTTTGTGGGCGCTGCAGCCTTCTCAGTTTCGACGATCGTGCAATCGGTGGTCAAGAAGTAGTTGGCGAAGATGGCGTTGCGCGCCTTTCTTTTCCAGAGTCCAAAATCGAATTTCGTCCTGAAAATTGGCTAGAAGGAATAAGACCGATCGAATCTCATCCTGATTATCGCCTGGTTCGCCTCGGCTGGAAGCTTGACGATGTTATGCCTGATATGCCCTCTTTATCTCGTTCTTCCCAGCTCGGGTGTGCATTCTGTCAAGCTTTGCGCAGGTCACTAGAAGAGACCTTTGCGGAAAAGGCGGAATCCTATTCCATAAAAGCTGGTGCAATGAATCTGGTCGCGTATCTTGCGCTAGTTGATGAAGGTGTGGGCGGGTTGGTAGTAGAAGCAACTTTCAATCATGTCAGCTCGAACGCAGCCGTTGTCCTCCAAACTGTCTTCCCTATTGAGGCAGACTCCAGTAAGTCTGTCGTCTAATCAAGCTTTATTTGCGTAAACTGACCATCTTTCTAAAGCCTGTGGGAAGTGGCTAGGGACTCACCCCGTACGCGATGCTTCATACTTGGATCCCATGAGCATTCGCAAAATACGACAAGTGCTCGGTTATTGCACGTCAAAGTGCCATCCTGTCACTCCATCTTCGTTCATGCCCACGAGACTCATAGACGTCGGCGATGACGCATGCGCCAACTCGCGGTTGGTTTTGTCTTCGACCATCAGCAGATCTGAGCAACCAAAGTATGCTGCCTTGAGCTACTGCTGGGGTAACGAAAAAGACGCTAAGTCTCAGTTCAAGACTGAGAAATCATCTCTAAATCAGAGGTGTGTGAATCTCCCTAGCGAACTATTGACGTCGACCACTAGCGATGCCATCTCACTTGCAAGGTCAATGGGTCTACGCTACCTATGGATAGACGCTCTCTGCATCGTACAGGACGATGAGGAGGACTGGGTTTACGAATCCTCCCAGATGGGTTCTATATATCGCCATGCATTTGTCACTTTCTGTAGCCTCACCTCAGATTCATGTCACAAAAGCTTCATCAATAGAGCCCCTGCAGTAGAAGTTCCTTTTCAATCGAAGATACGGAGAACTACGAAGGGCTTTTACTTGATCCGGTTACGACCAAGGATGCAAGACCGCATGGATTGGGACGAATACTTCTTCGACTTCTTTTTGTCCAAGTGGACCAAGAGATGCTGGACGCATCAGGAGCAAGAGATGTCCAGTCGACTTCTGCTCTTTGGAAGCTTGAAGTTATACTTCCATTGCGGAAAATGTCGATGGTCAGAAGGAGATGACGCCCCATGGGATACATACAAATTCGGCGTTATGGATCAAGTCACCGCGTTCAAGGACAATCATATGACCTCCACGGAACTCTATGAAAGTTGGGACGGTTTGGTCAACGGCTATGGTTGTCGGTTGGTAACGCTGGACAAGGACCGCCTTCCTGCTATCGCTGGGCTTGCTCGCATGATAGGTGAAACGCTGCAAGATCGATACCTCGCCGGACTCTGGGAAGGAGATTTACACCACGGATTGATGTGGTACAGCCAAGATGACACGCTGTTGCGTGGTTTTGAGACTCACATACGCAATATACGTGAACGAAACTATATTGCCCCTTCATGGTCTTGGGCTGCGTGCCCAGATGTGGCGACTGTGGTAGACCATGGTTCATGTAAAATTGAAGAGTCGATCATAGTAGACGTCGATACTGATACTCATTCCGAGGACCCATATGGACAGGTTTCTGGGGGGTTTCTTTACATCCGCGGGAAGATGGCTCGGATACCAAAGTGGTTACTGGACGACAAAGAAACGCGATTGGGAAACGCATGGGCCCTCAGCGCAGGAGTCGGAAATAATTCCATTATCGTCATTACGGATTGGCTTGACAAAGGTAAAGAAGCAGGCTTAGAAAATGTTGTTGTCTTGCTTCTCTATCGCACGAACGAAAAGAACCACGATGAGACAGTAGTACCAGCGCTACGGGCTTT